GTGGGGAGTGACTGTGTATTGGGGACAGTTCCAGTTTTGCAAGAGGAAAGAGATGGATGGAGGTCATTGAACAACTGAACTGTGCTCCTAAAACTGATTAAGATGGTAAATTTTGTGCTACGTATACTTTGCCATAACTTTTTTAAAGTCCTGCCTTAAAAATTAAGTGTTTCCAAGCTATCTGCCACGTATCTAGCAAGAGCTGTGATTCCCATGTGTGCACGCGTCTTTGGGGAATCCTATTGCAGAGCATCATGGTTGACTTGGCGTTAATAAAGGATATCCCCGTTTCCCACCTGTCCAGCTCATGGTCACATCAGAAGAACACCCTGTGAACTTGAACTTTCTTCACCCCCAAGAGCTCATCTGTCGTCTGCTTTCCCCCTGCAGGTCCTGAAGCGGCAAGGTTACGACGCAGCCTGTGACATCTGGAGCTTGGGGACCCTGCTGTACACCATGCTGGCGGGGTAACGCACACCCTCCCATAAGCGTCAGCGTGCGGTGGCATGTGTGCCCGAGACATCATGAGGCAGACATCTCAGGGGCTGTCCCTTCAGCCCAGGGTCAGCCCTGCCCCGGTGCCACGGGCAGGGACGCACACTCACAGGTCCTGGGTAAACACCTCCTCAGCCCTTTCAGGACAACTAAAGAGCAGGGATTAAGAAAGTTGGCCACATGTTTTCTTTAAAATCTATCTCCAGAATTAGGGAACTGGAGCACAGAACTCAGCTCATCAACAAAAAACCCAAGCCTCTGACCACCTGTCCACATTCTTCCCAGCACCAGGCCACCCCCTTGAGGGGTCGTAACATCTTCTCTTAAAAACATCCTCTTGAGTTAAGAAGCACCCCTAAAGGCTTCGTGGTCAAAGAGCACCTCGAGAAAGGCAGCCAGGTAAAAGCAGGTGACTGACTTGTGTGGCCGCCAGAGGGGACAGCCGGCCTTACGGAAGGAGGGTTGGGTCTGCTGTGTGCACATCTGCTTCCGGTCCGAGATCTGCCCCCCACCAGCTCTGTTTCTGGCCTGGACTCCTTGACCTTTATTGGCCTCACTTCCCTCACCTTTGAATGAGAAGAGGACACTGTGTGGTATTCAAGGCTTCCAGCCTTTTTTTTTTTTTTTTTAAAGATTTTATTTATTTGTTTGAGAGAGAGAGAGAGAGAATGAGAGATAGAAAGCACGAGAGGGAAGAGGGTCAGAGGGAGAAGCAGACTCCCCGCCGAGCAGGGAGCCTGATGCGGGACTCGATCCCGGGACTCCAGGATCATGACCTGAGCCGAAGGCAGTCGCTTAACCAACTGAGCCACCCAGGCGCCCAAGGCTTCCAGCCTTAAAGGTCGAGGATCCTAAGAACCCCAGGGGGACCTATGTTTTTAAGTTTATTAAGGATTTGCACAGAAGGAAAAAAGAGCTCTAGACCACCCAGTCCTGCTCACCGTAATAAAATGGACAAAAGGCCCTCGTAAGAATGAGTGGCAGTAGCCTGTTTTTCCTGTGGCCTCAATGAGGCATCACATGATAAGTGAGTGACCAGTGTCTGTAGTGAAAGGGGGAGGACTCGTGAGCCTGGGGCTGTGCCTTGAGGACCACAGCAGCAGGGAAGGCATCCTGGACCTTCCTGACATCACACCGTTGGATTGCCCTGCGGTTCTTCTGATACTCACGTTGTCTGTACGTAAACCTCAGATCACCAACCTGGCCACTAAAGGAAGTGCCGTGAGGATCACATAGAATTCCTTTCCTAGCAGGCATGTATCGACATGCCCTGCATAATGTTGGGAGCTGATGGAATAATTCACAGTGGGGCAGATGTGGATGGCATCTTATATGTGTCCATGTAGATCCCTGTGAGTGTATTATTCTGCCCATTGTGCAATCTAATCTTAAAACATTAATTTATCAGAGAACCAGAGTTGGTAATAGACCAACCGTAGGTCTCTCAGACTTCAAATCTCAGGTTCTCCTCCATTATACCACAGTCTCACCATGGAAACCGAATGACCGAGCCAACCACTGAAATACTCGGTCACCAGGGGAGCCAGGAAGGGTCCACGGATGCCCGTGCTTGGGTCCTAGAGTTTTCTACACTTGCCTTACCGACCTACACCAATGACCAACTTAGGAAGATGGACATAGCATAAGAAATAAGTGACGCTTTCCCATGACTCCTGAATTTGGAGCGTAATGGCAAAGAAAGAGCTATTGTTTTTAACAACAAAGAGGCAGGGGTGCCTGGGTGGCTCAGTCGGTTAAGCATCTGACTCTTGATCTCGCCCATTCTTGCTCTCAGGTTTGTGAGTTCAAGCCCCACACTGGGCTCCATGTTAGATGTGGAGCCTACTTAAAAAAAAAAAAAAAAAAAAGCAACAACAACAAAAAGAGGCAGTATCAAGCTGTGAACTTTACTGTAGGTCATAAAATCAGAATTCATACCAGGCATTCTCTCATTGCACAGATTTACCCCATTTGCAAACGGACCAGATGATACTCCTGAGGAGATTCTGGCAAGGATTGGCAGTGGGAAGTACGCCCTTTCTGGGGGGAACTGGGACTCAATCTCTGATGCTGCGAAGGTGAGTGTTTTCTGGCACTTTCTTCTCAGCTGTGGAGATTCTGTATTAACCGTTTTATTTGTGAGGAAGCTAGAGGATACCTTTCATATAAATAACTCAGGTATTTTATCTCATAGATTTTTTTTTTTTTTTAGTTTCTCAGTTAAAAAAAAAAAGAATGGTTTTTTGCAAAAGTCTCTTAGAGTACTTTTCACATTTTCTACTGTCTTGGTGTACTAGGGTTCTCCAGAGAAACAGAATCAATAGGATGTGCATAGATACAGAGAAAGAAAGATTTGTTTTTAAGAATCAGTTCATGAGATTGTGGAGGCTGATAAGTCTAACATCTACAGAGTAGGTCCATAGACTGCAAACTCAGGGAAGAGTTGGTGTTACAGCTTGAGTCCAAAGCCCATCTGCTGGCAGACTTCCCTTTCCTCGGGAAACCTTGGTCTTTTTTATCTTAAGGCTTTAGTTGATTGGATGAGGCCCACCAACATCATGGAGGGTCATCTGCTTTAAGTCCAAGTTGACTGATTTCAATGTTAATCTCATCTAAATAAGACTTTCACAGCAACATCTAGACTGGTATTTGGCCAAACACAGGGGACCGTGGCTTATCTAAGGTGACACATAAAATTAACTATCACAGTTTTAGTGATGTTGCAAACTGTGTGCCCTGAATGATCACAGACTGATCAAGAAGAAGAACTCTGGGACAGAGGTGTATTTCTGTTACTTTAAAACTCTTTGCATTGAGGCTTCCCTGCAGCTTCACTATTTGTGACCAACTTTGTTTAAAGAGACATCAGACTTAGTCTTTTTCAGTTGAGATCATCAATTCCTCTCTAATCAAATAGTCAGTGATAACACCACCACTCAGAAGAAGCAGCTTCAGTCTATTTCCTGTGTTGCCATAAAATGACTGGGAGAGGAGTAGACCATCGGGGTTCTGATACTAGTACTGCCATCATCATCACTGTGTGACCTCATACAGAAATGGCAGAGGGGATGGTGGAGGAGATGGTAGAGAAGATGATGGAGCAGATGGCAGAGGGGATGGTGGAGGTGATGATAGAAGTGACGATGGAGAGGATGATGGAGGAGGTGGTGGAAGTGATGATGGAGGAGGTGGTGGAAGTGATGATGGAGAAGATGATGGAGGAGGTGGTGGAAGTGACGGAGAAGATGATGGAGGAGGTGGTGGGAGTGACGATGGAGAAGATGATGGAGGAGGTGGTGGAAGTGATGATGGAGGAGGTGGTGGAAGTGATGATGGAGAAGATGATGGAGGAGGTGGTGGGAGTGACGATGGAGAAGATGATGGAGGAGGTGGTGGAAGTGATGATGGAGGAGGTGGTGGAAATGATGACAGAGAAGATGATGGAGGAGGTGGTGGGAGTGACGGAGAAGATGATGGAGGAGGTGGTGGAAGTGACGGAGAAGATGATGGAGGAGGTGGTGGAAGTGACGGAGAAGATGATGGAGGAGGTGGCAGAGACAATGGTGGAGAAGATGGTGGAGGTGACAGTGGAGGTGATGGTAGAAGAGATGGTGCAGGAGATGATGGAGGTGATGGTGGAGAAGATGGTGGAGGAGATGACAGAGATGATGGTGGAGGAGATGTGGAAGAGAGGACAGAGGTGATGATGGAGGTCATGGCAGAGGTGAGGGCAGAGGAGAAGGCAGCGGGCCTTTAGCGAGCACTTCCCGTGTGTCAGACCCTGACGCTCCCGGTGCTCCCATCTACCCACTCTGTCTCAAAGAAGTATAGACATTGTCTAGTTCTGGTCCCCAAAGTAGACCAGGACTTGGGTGCTGGTGGTTTCTGAGGCGACCTTGGAAGCGGGAGTGGGGGGCAGGGAGAAGGTGTCAGGAAAGCAATCAAGTCAAGTACCAGGATTGTTGCTGCAGGCAGAGGGCTTCACTGCCTCCTGGGACCTTGACGACTTCTTCCCGCCTCCTCAGCACCACATCTTCTGCCTCATCTGCCCCATGCGTTTTCCCCTCTCTGTGTTCACCAAACATACAACAAAACCTCCGGTTCTCCAAAATCAGACAGAGTCTATGGATTTGTGTGTTGTTACAGTGCATCTTGCTGGCACTGCATAGAAACACTGCTTTACTATGAGATCTTGAGCAAACAATACAGGTCTCTCTGCTTTCAGTCTTACCCGTGGAAATGGGAACAATCCTGCTTTAGGAGATACTTGTTTCAAGAAGTTACTAAGATCAGTGTTACCAAATATTAAAAGGCATTTGATTTCTCTATTCAAAAAAGGATATTGGATTAGTCTATAGTATTTCTCTGTTGTGGTTTATGACCAGAAATTCTGTTGAGTACATCATATCATGTACGTATGCTAACTCCCATATTTCCCTGTGAAATGCCACGGGAATACGAGAGGAAGGTGAGCAGCCTGTCAGGAAAACGCGGATTCTCATCATGGCTCTTCCTTGGACAATTGTTTGATCACTATAAATGTCACCTGCAAAACAGGGACAGTAATATTGGCCCTCATTCCCCCAAGGACGATCCCGATGACTCTCTCTAGAACAGGTGTATCACGCATGCGCAGACGGCCTCATGAATGCCATTCAGATCCACATCACAGTTGTAATTGTGTGTGTGTGCACACGCATGTGCGTGTCATGCCATGTGTGAATGTGAAGAGGAGCTTTGTCTTTAAGCCACAGTCATAAGAATCTTTATTGTGATTGTCTTACAGTCACACAAGAAAATCACCCCATGGGACATTAGCCCCTTGGACCCTCGTAATGGCTCCAGATGGACAGTTCTGTGGCTGGTGCTGATTCGTAGCAAATGTTTGTGGACAGTGCTAACAAAAGCGTCACTACATGCATTGTCATAATTGGTTTATGTCTGTGGGACAGTCGTTACCTAGCTTCTCCCTTTGGAAGGATATCATTTTTACTAAAATAGCAGTTCAGTAAATTACATGCACCATTCAACATTTGTACATTTGATTTCTCCTTGCATGTAAAATCTTTAACATGATATAAACCTGAGGTGAGCCACCAAGGTGATGATAATTAAAATTCAAAAATCATTCACGTACTTTTAAGGCTGACAATAAACATTTGACCCCCAAGTGCAGAGAATCAGAACAATGGCGAGGTTTTGCCGTGAGAGGGAATGAAGGAATTTTGCGCAGGAGGCTCTTCGAACAGGCTTCTGTTGTCTTCCCTTATAGGATGTCGTGTCCAAGATGCTCCATGTGGATCCTCATCAGCGCCTGACGGCCGTTCAAGTCCTAAAACACCCGTGGATTGTGAACAGAGAGTACCTGTCCCAAAACCAGCTCAGCAGACAGGACGTCCACCTGGTGAAGGTGCGGACAGGGAGTCATGAGAGAGCAAGATGCTGGGGGTGGGGGGCCCAGGAAGGTTGCCCTGATCCCCCTTAAAATAACCTAAAGAAACCACGGTGTGGGAACCAGATAGCGAGCCAGTAAGAGGCACAAACAGGTATTCCTAATTTACTTTTACCCATTTCTTCACATACAAGCAATCACACACAAAATTCTGATAAGTTACAACTTCTGTTAACGATCTTGAGCAGCTTCAGTGTGTGTGTGCGCGCGCGTGCGCAGGCACATGCGTACATATGGGACAGAGACAGACACGGAAGGAGAGAGGGAGACAAAGTAGGAGAGACAGACAGACAGATGGGGGTGGAGAGAGAGAGGTGGAGGGAGTCGTGCGTCTGCACCAATCCAAGGTGCCAAAGCCCTCGGTTCTAGAGCAGAGGTCCGCAGACTTCTGTGTAGAGGCCCAGACGGTAAGCATTGTCGGCTTCTGGAGCCAGCTGTCTCTGTCACTCCTCCTCAAATCTCCTGTTGTGGCCCAGAAAGGCCCACCAAGTGGCTGGGTGCAGCTGGGCCTCAGGGAAAGTTGATCCCCGGGAGTGGGGGCACTGGGCTGGGCTGGAGGGCGCACGCCGCGACCGTCTCGCTCCATTTTCCTGAGACACTTCCCAGCGCACGTGCCATGGAGCCTCCTGACCCCTGGAGGCCCTGACAGAGACACAGGGCTAGGGAGGGGACAAAGGCCAGGACGCAGCTGGTGTCGCTGAGATAGTCTCGTGCCCAGGGATGGAAAGGTTTTCAGCGATAGAACAGCTGCCCGTTAAACTGTTGGGTCTTGGGAGACCCTTGCCATCGACGATCCCAGCCTTGCAGTGTCTGACCTTGTGGTACGGCTGTGATCAGAGTCACTGAAGCCAGGCGTCATCAGGCCCAACTGCAGCCAGACAATGGCCTCGGGCCACCTCGGTCGTGATACACCCGCACCTGTGGGGCCGTCCACACGCACTGACAGACATCCCGACGACTGGGGGTCTACACTACAGGCACAAGCAGGTTCTGCCTTGCGTGCTTGGCAAGAGGCTGCTTGGAGCTCCGTGGGGAGGGCTGAAAGCACAGCACTCCCGGGTCTCAGGGTCGGTCCTTGGAGGGTGAAGCCCATCCCCTAAGATCCAGCCAGCGCGGTAACACGCTGTAGCGC